TATACTACAAAAAAGTTAGACATGTGCTATTTTATGCCTTGGCTACCATTTGCACAGGCAGAGCTAATTGATTTGGACAATGAAAATGTTGTGCTTTATTAGTGCGACGGTTTCTTAAGGTTTTCTTTTAAAATTTTATTAATACTCTAGTAATTTGCTTCTATACTTTATGGAGTTCCCTATTCGCCTAAAATTGAAGACAATTAAAAAAAGTGATATTAAATTTGGATACCAAACCTCATTCGGATTAATATTGGATATTCGATTTCTTTGAAAAATGTATCTATATTTTCATTTAATTTGTGTAATTCTATTTTATGCATATCGGAGGTTCACAATATTTCTTCCAGTTAACACAGGCAAATTGTATACCTACGGTGAGTAGGAACATTACGAAATCAAGATGCAAAGATGTGAACTAGCATGATCATACAAATAGCCAAATCATCTACAGATGCGTATACTAATTATTATATGCATCCAAAGCAAGATTGTTACTTACTTAAGCTCCAGTCGTGCTTGATTGAGTGCCAATGTGAACTGGTGATCTTGGATGTTCTTCACCGTCAAGCGTTCCCGGTGGTCTGGAGAAGCACGAAAATGTATAAGAGTACCATCTTGTGCATCCAACCGGACATCAAACTCAACAAATGCCTGTTTGTCCATCGGAAAAGGTACTCTTACAAGTAAAGTCGTGCTGGATGTGAAGTATCGGCCTTGGATCATCAAGTCCCTTCTCAGCTGCTCAGCTGCCAGGCTCACATTTGACTCTGCCTCCAGCTCGAAGGAGGATCCCAACGCATCAGCAGGAATTCCTGCCTCTGGCCTTCCCGACACTCCAATGTTGGTAAGTCGTGAAGCTTCATTTTCAAGCTTCGGTTCTTCAAGTGTCTTGGATTCTGCTCGAACCCAAAAGGAAAATACAGGATAGATTATAGCAACTTCGCCTAGGGTCTCTTTCTCCATTCCATATCAGAATGCAAGGAAGCAAGCGCTTGAATGCGTTTTGTAGATAGAAGGCTCTATGTATAAATACATTTGTATATGATTAGGTGTCAATTGTATAGGAAGTATTCATAGGCTATGAGGCAAAGTTACACTGATGCAAACGCAAAGACGCAAACCAACAATAGGAAGTTAAAGTTTTCCTAAAAATGATATCGTAACCAAGGCGGCATCACTAAATAATTGGGTCAAAAATCTATAGAAATAAAGATCTTATCACCATTTTTCGAACCAATGTATAAAAAAATTGACCAGACTGATTAATGAGCACTAAGAACTTGGAATAATTCTTCACCAAGCTAAATATAACAGCGAAGATGGTAAGGTTTCAAGTAATCTCTTGGTTTATAATTCTTAAGATTACTTCTATTTCGAGTAGAAGTGTTTGGTGAAGAGATTCGAAGGTCGATCAAATCAGAAGACGACGTCGGATTCCTCCTGGAAAAGTGTCGATTGACCTTATTGACGATAGAGACTATTGTGAGGATGAACTGGATCTGTTTAAAATAATATTATTTGATTAGTAAAAATTTCTTTTTGGAATACAGAATATGCCAAGACGGAGACTTTTTAAATGTTTTAACCTTGCTTTCGTTCATTCTCCTCAAAATGATAAGTGAACTTGTAAGGAAATGGGAGATAAAAACGGTTTACAGGGAAACTATGACATTTTATTCCGTTATTTCCAATTTTTGAGTGGAATTTTACCCATTATTCAGATCAGGTTGCTATGAAATATTGTGTTTTTTTGTGATAGAAAGACTTTATATCCCATTTTGCAAAGGAGTGCAAAGCGCAAAAGCGTCCATAGAGGCTGTAGGATTCAAAAGTCAGAGCCGGCAGAACACACTGCAGACACTTGATACGAGAATGAATGGTCTCAAACTTGTCGTTTTGCTGATAATGGAATGTTTACGGCTAGACGTAAAAATAGAGAGAGGCCATCGCAATCAACTCACCGGCAAGAAGTTAAGTAAAAACTACTTATGCTTAATTATTAAACTTAAGGAAAAAAGGTGTTGAGCCGCCTGTAAAAAGGACGCGATTCAACTAGTATTTTCTATTCTATTCTTCGTTTTAATCACAGTCACTTTACTGTACTTTTTAATCCATTCTTTCTCTCTCACATGAAGACAGAAAGCTCATCAGCATCACCTGATATTTATCCGACTGTGCAATAGGAGGGATGGTTTATATATATATATGTATATATATATATATATTTATTTATTTATTTATTTATTTATTTATTTATTTATTTATTTATTTATTTATG